GTCGAGTGAAGATTTCTTCATTTATTCTAGAGATGTATCTAAAGAAGTATAAAATCGATATTAAAACGTAATTAATTAAATTGATAAGAAATCTATGTTTTAACTCTAAGCTATTGTTAAGCTATGAAGTTGCTAGCTAGAAAATAACTGACTTATTAAATAAATATTAGTCGATTTCAAGTGGTTAAAACTTTCTTTCTTTAGTGAATTAATCCCAATTATATATACTTATTCAATTAAACAAGCAATAATTATAAAGAATTAGCTAAAACAATATAAATTTTAACGTTATGTTGTGAATTGATCTCTACCAGGAGTCATAAATTGTAATTAAGTCGCTTTTATAATTTAATAAGTAGAAGAATGGAGTAAATCGTTATGGTGTATTAAATATATCTTTCAAATAAATTTATGGGTTTAGATATATAGAAAAACCATTAAATAAAAATTAATCAATATTAAAGGTTAAATTGGTTGTTTATCCAAAGTTAGGAGATCACATTTTAAAGTAATGTAATTTATATTTGTTTGAGAATACTAAGCAAAGAAGAAGTTTGCATGAAATGGTATTTGATTAGATGTAGATAAGATTACCTCTCTAATAAATAAGTAAAATACTAACTTTATCCACTTCTTGTATTAACCTCTAGGTAAAAAGTCAGTGTGTCATTAATTAAATCTTCTAATTATTTAGATTAAAAATAGATTTTCCTTTAATGTTAAAATCAGAGTATAGAAGTTCAATACACAAAATTTATTTCTGCAATTGTAGGAAGTCCACAAATGTTATAATTTTAGGATCAATTATCAATATCTTAAGCCATTTAAGTAGTATTTATTGATGGATCTTTTTCTTTTTGAATTAGTTATATAGAAATAAAATTTTCTTTAATTTGAAATTTCCCAAATACTCAAACCAAAATAGAACTTTAATAAAGAACTTAATACACTTTAATTGAATATTCAATTTTAAACTAAGAAGCGGATATTTAGAGAGAAATTTAAAGTATTTGTAAATAA